GCATAATCAATGAAATACAGATAGACATTCCTCTGGTATTCCCTGCTTTCAGCTAAGATCCATCTAACATCAGCTATAATATCCCTAGTACCATGACCGCTTCTAAACCCAGCCTGGACTTCTGGCAGTTCTCTGCTAATGGGCTGTTTCAGTCATTTTGGGATAATCTTCAGTAGAATCTTGCTTGCATGTGAAATCAGTGAGATTTTTCTATAATTTTCACACTCTGTTGGGTCACCCTTCTTTGGAATGTGAACAAATATAGATCTCTTATAGTCAGTTGGCTAAGTGGTTGTTTTCCAGATTTCTTGGGACAACTTGGTGAGCATGTCCAGGGCAGCATCTGTTAGCTGAAAGACCTCAACTGGTATACCATCTATTCCTGGGTCCTTGTTTTTTGCTATTTCCTTCAAAGCAGCTTGAACTTCTTCCTTCATCACCACAGGCTCTTACTCATTTGTTATTTTATTAAATTCTTCTGTGTCTGCCAATTCCTTTCTATACTGTGGCTCAGAATATTCTTTCCATCTTCTTTTAATACTTCCTGAATCATTTAATATTCTTCCTAAAGCATCCTTGATTATAGCAACTGGAGGTTTGAATTTCTTCTTCAATTCCTTGAGCTTAAGAAATGCTGAACGAGTTTGGACTTTTTTATTTTCTGACACTAGAATGGCAATATTTTGCTTCACAGTTTTTTAGGTTTTCATTCCTTATGTGTGCAGCTGTGTCTCTTCTTTGTATAAGTTTATAGTAGTCTGAAAACACAGACTAAAACTAACTTGAAAAGATTATTTGCTAAACTTGTGGAAATCTGCCTCACTCAGAACCTGGTTCAGCAGCAATGTATTCCTTTTGTTTTTCTTTGAATGAACTAAAATTTTATGGCTAGAAATTGTCTTTCATTAATCAATATTTCCTGGTAATGTTTACCAGTATGTCATATTTATTTGGTATTTACTGGGATGTGCCAAACAATAAGACTAGTTGGAAGTGAAAAATTAAAACAATAACACAACCCTACAACTACTCAGTATGCCTTCTGGTAGGTTTTGTAACGGCCTAGAATATGAAATATAAGGAAATACAGACAGTCTGGTATCATTTTACAACACAGCTGAAGAAGTAAAGGGCAGGGAAAGGCTGCAAAGAACAAATTACAACTGCAATGTGACTTTAGAGTGCTCAGACTCTAACGGCCCACATGCCTTTGAATGAGACTGTAGCCCCACTGAGATTCAGGAGAGTGACTTATGCTGTTCTACCAGTAGATGTAATATATCTCAAACACCAACATAGAGCCAAGGAGTCTGTTTCAATTCAAGCCTACACTGAGTTTTCCAAGGCTGTAAATCTGACAGGAAGAGACTACGCATCCTCCCCCAAATGCACTGCCAATGGGTCCAAATCTCCAGAGTTAGCAGCCCAACTCACCATGGATTACTCTACCAGAGGCCCATTTATGATGCCTCTAGACTGCTCCCTTTCCATCCTACAGTTCTCTTGCTCCCCTTTGAACCAAAAGAAAATTAGAAAATTAAGCAGAGGACAACAAAGGATGTGACCTGGAGGGCCCAGCTAGTTGCTGTCCACAGCTGGGTTCTGCTTGGCTTGGGCAGTCTTTCTAAATGCTATTAATTAATTCCCAATATTTTACAACTTAACATCAAAATCTAGATTGATTTTCTTTTCTTAATCAAAAAATATATTAGATAACCTAGCAAAATAGAAAGACTGCCATCACCAAAATGTAGAAGCTGTGTAGCTGGTGCCTTTAAATGGGAGTTGAGCAGGTAGATTACCCTATGTTTAAATAATCTTCTTCAGTTTTCCCTGGCCTCACATGGCTGGCTGTGTTCATGGCATCTCCCGACCTGACTTGGTTGACTTGTGAGTTTATGTCCTGTGGGCTAGGGCTGACCATGGAACAGAATAAGGCTGATGAATAATTCATGAATTTGCTTCAAAAGTCACATAAATCAATCCTGGTATATGATAGGAACTTCAACTTGAGAGTTCAACAATTAATATTATTTTGCTGTGTTGAGGCCAAAGGAAAAGTACAAGAAGGAAATATAACAACCTGAAGGATCCCATGCCCTGAAATCAACATACCTGGAGATCCAAAGTATCGGAGGGTGACCTCTTGTGTTTTCACTTCTCCGGCCACATTTTTCGCCATGCACTGGTAAATGCCCTGATCCGTCTCCTGAGTATTTTGAATCATCAGTGTTCCATCATCCAACAAGTTTAAACGGGAATCTGTTTTCATGCTCAGCTCATTACTGTGAAGAAAGACTTGAAATTTTAAAACATAAACACAAACCTCCACCTAAAGGTTTCTCATAATGGGATTCCAGAGAGTATTCTGAACATCTTGTCTCTCAAGGACTCTTCTTTTTGAACGGCTTTTGCTCAGCAAGGAACCCTGGTGGCGTAGTCCGGGAGTTTTGCTGCTACTCCAAAGATCATACCTTTCTGGTGGCTCAAATCCACCAGAGGCTCTGCAGGAGAAAGATGGGCAATCTCCTCCTAGGAAACGTACAGTGATGAAAGCCCACTGCAGGGCCAGCTATAAGTTGGTTCTGACTTGATGGCAGTGAATTTGAATTTCTTGTCTTAACAGATATTCCTAGGAAAAGTATCTATATATTTGTATCTTTCATTTGCATATTTCTTTTTATTCTTTCTGTAACCTATCTAATTCTAGATGTTTCAAAATCATACTTCTAAAAAGACAATCATGAATATAGGGAGGAAATTCAAAGGTCACATTTTACCTTGTTGTGGCTAATAGTGGCCTAGTGGTAAAAGAAATCTGCACTACAATCCCAAAGGCACCTGGTGCAAATCCACCAGCTGTTCCATGGGAGAAGCCTGGGCCATCTCCTCTCATGCAATTACTGCCTCTGAAAATTCACTGGAGGGTCAGCTATGGGTCAGTTCTGACTCAATGGTAAAAAACAAAGGTAAACAACAATGGTAAAAAACAATGGTAAACAACAAAGTATGGGGTGCTGAATATCCTGTGGACTGCAACAAACAGCTATGTCTTAGAGAAGCTGCAGCCAGAGTGCTCCTTGGAAGCAAAGATAATTAACCTTGCCTCACAAACTCTGGGTATGTGTGAATAGATAGGAGAGGCTATTTTATTGGAGAGGGACATCATGCTTGGAAAGGTGGAGGGACTGCAAAGGAGAGGAAGATCCTTGACTTGGTGGACTGACACAGTGGCTTTGGCAATGGGCTCAAGTATGTCTGAAATTGTGAGGATGGCACAGGATAGGGCAGGGTTTGGATCTGTTGTTCTTAGGTCACCTAGAGTCATATTCAACTTGACAATAACTATTAATAACAGCAACAAAGACAACATAGGGTGATTTGGGGACAACAGTATCAACAATAGTGTTGCAAATTATCTTTCTGGTGGTTCAAATCCACCAATGGACATACTAGAAAATTATAGCCTCTCACAGACTTGCTGAATGATCAGCTATGAGTCAGATTCAACTCAGTGATGAGTGAGAAAGAAATAACAGACATAAACAAATGTGTATCCAATTTCTATCAGCTTCTTACCACCTTCCTTTCCAGAGACAAAATACACCATTAGACCACCACCAAGTGGAATAATAACTCCATCTGTCATAGAGAGCTCATCTGCCCAAATGAGCAATCCCCAGGACACTAATGTCTTTATCCTCCACATGACTTTAGTGCTTTGTCAAACAATAATGACCTCTGGCTGGACTCCTGTCACATTATACAGACATTAAAAATTCACCTTGTCTCACAACCAAATCACAATCTGTGACTTAAGCCATCCCCAAATCATCATACGAGGGCTCATCTCCCCACTACTCCTGTACCCCATCCTCCAGCCACCTAACATTCCATATCCATTGATACTTGGGTTTCCTCCCTTGGGAAACACATGAAAAGGATAAAGCTGAAGTTCAACATGGAAGCTGAGATCACAATTTATGGGAATCATGTGAAAAAGATACAAAAAACAATACACTAAGTTATATGCCTGCACTGTGAAAAAGATAAAAAAAACAATAACTAAGTTATACATGTGCACTTCATGCCAAAACCCATTGCTATTGATTCTGACTGCTAATAATCCTGCAGAATATATCACAATTGTTCCAGAGTTTCCTAGTCTATAAAAATGTCTTAAAAAAGCAAGATTGTCATGTTTTTCTTCCACCTAAAGAGAAGGTGGTAGGTTTGACCCACCAACCTTATGGTTTGCAGCAGAGCACCTAATCACTCTGTAATCTAGGCTCCCACTTGAGAAAACAAAGCTAAGAAAAGATTACATTTTTGACAGATAATCAACACAGATAAATCCATGGCAACAAGAAAGACTAACTATTCACTTCCCTCATTTCTTTAATCATCTTCAATTACAGGAATGATTTTATCTTCTTTTCTTAAGAAACCAGCAAATTCAAAGCCATGATTGATTACAGAGAGTGAAGTAGACAATTTCCCAAAGAAACTTCAAAAAAGTGCTCTGACTAGCCAGGCTTTCTCATGAGTGATCCCTACCTATCCATAACACCATTATTCCTTAAAATCTCCTCTGCTTGGTGTGACCTTCCTTAGTAATCCAGGAAAACTTTTTTGTTTCCATACAAATTTTTCTGGTTAGAAGAAATAATCACATCAGATCTCCTAACTGGCACTCATGCAATACAGTCCTGTTGTCTTCCAATAACCACAGTTACTGTGAACCCAGCAGACACACCGCTCTAGCGGGGACAGCCTGTGGACTTCAGGCTTCATTCTGCTCTATTTGACTATTGGATTTAAAAGCTTAGCATCCATTTGTTCATTTAGAAAATGTAAATGTAATCTGTTTGAGCCAAATTTACACTTCTTTGCCTTTTAGACCCACCACTTATCCGTCTCTCATACTGGAGGGGTTGTTTATTACTGTGATGATGGAAGCTATGCTACCCATAGTTCAAATACCAGCAAAATCATCCATGGTAAACAGGTTTCAATGCTGCTTCCTTTACAGGCTAGGAAAAAAGGCCTGGTGGTCTAATTTCGAAAACTACACAATCCACAGAATATGATCCAACCTGGTGTTGGAAGATGAGTCCCTAGACTAGAAGGCATGCAGAACACACAGCGGACGTAACAAGGGACCTGAGCACACATACATGAAGACGACACAGGACCTCAATATTTCACTCTGCTGTTAACTGGGGTTATCAGGAATTGCAGCTGCTGCTTCGACAACCAGCAGTATTTGAAACACATTTTAAAGTATTTGAAAATACTTTAGAATTCTTCCAGTATTTCATGTGAGATTTTAACTCTCATCTACTTCAGAACTATCCAAGATAACAAGACACTGGAAGACTGGAACAGCATTTTAAACCTCCCCTGCACAGCAACTGGATCCAATTCCAATGTTATTTTACAGTTATGACAACAAAATCTAGGCTAGACCAAATCTCTACTATCTTTTAAAATATTAACACATTTGCTGATCCCGCATCTGACAACACTCAGTATTCACATGTTCATCTTGTCTATAAATAACTCTTTTATACACTTAACCACAGTCAAACTTGCCTCGGGAAGTCTGGCCCTGGTCTACTAAGGCATTATGACTCAATCAGTGTCTGAAATATCTGGAAATGAAAATAACTGGCATGTGAACCGTCCAAGATGCCTCCACCACTCTGTCATGACTAAACATGACCCACTGACTAAACATGAAGATGCTAAAATTGGAGATTAACAATAAATATTTTGTTTCTAATTATGTGCACATTTGTATATTAATGAAAATAAATTTCATAAGCAGTGGTAGGGTTATTTTATGTTAAATAATTCCTTTTTAGGCTTAGTATCATAATTTATACTTGAAAAGTGGTCCTTCTTTTATCCTAGAAGATGTTTAAGGATCTGACCCCAGATCTCTCCCAGCTGAGCTAGCATTTCCCACCACACACCTCAGCCTACAACAATGTATTTCCACATTCTTCTTTACACTGTCATTTCCTTTCCTCAATAGCATAATCCTTACTTTATAACCTAAATAAGAGCAGCGATAGTTGTTTTATGCCATCGAGTTGTTTGTGATTCATAGTGACTTTATATACAATATCTCTGAGCCCATCTTACGGACTTTAACATACCTAAGCCCTTTACCCCAGTTATTATGCCATTCCACCTCATCCAGGGTCTTCCTCTTTTGCACTGTTCCTCTATCCTTCCAAGCATGCAGGAGAAGAAACTAGCTGTACATTGCCCACGTTTGTCACAGAATATTCACACATCATAATAGTGAACACAGATGATTTCCCTCTGTGATCTATGAACCGTTAGAGGCTGGGGTAGGGCTGACTTGTCTCTGTGCATTCAACTGTGAGCAAAATATTCAAAGACCTCTCATTAATGTTTGCAAAAAGAAATGGCATCTCTGTTACAGGAGATAAATTAAGTCTCCCATAAGAATTAAGGAAACATTTGTTCAATTAGTAGAGTAAGTCTGCAGCTGTCTGCTTACAACTGCCTCCCTGAGGACACACAGTCTGTGAAGAGGTTCACTGACACCACTCTCACCAAGTCAGGGAGAGCAGGGCCCTCCAGGCTCAGCACCAGCTACTGTAAATGATATAAACCCTATAGCTTCTGTCCACAACAAATCAGGTGCAGACAGAAAGAAGAGGATGGATAGAGGGAGGGGGGGCAGAAATTGTGTAGTAATGTCCCAGTCCAATTCCTAACCTGAGGCAGTAAAGATAATATAAACCCAAAACCAAATCCACTGCTCTCAAGTCAATTCAACCCACAGCAATGTTACAGGACACAGGAAAACTCTCCACCAGAGTGTCTAAGGCTGTATCTTCATGGGAGCAGACCACTAGTTCTTCTCGCCTGTGGAGAAGCTGGTGAGTTATAATCACAAATCTCTGTTAGAAGCCAACAACTTTGCCACTATGCCACCAGAACTCCTAGGAAGTAGCATGCTGATCTTTAATTCAAACCACTGCATTCTGGCAAGGAAAAAGTTTATCAGCCTTTCTGAAATTAGATCTGCTAAATTCTAATCCAAATCCCTGTACCAAAGCCAATGCATTCAGCAGATGTCTTTATGACCAGAAGAAATGCCCACTCCTACTTTCTTTTTAGATCCTCAAACCACTACCTGCATATAAGTTGGAGGTACTGCAGTGGTTTTGTGTTGCTCTGATGATTGATATTATACCACTGGTATTTAAGTATCAGCAGGGCAATGTGACCCATGGGGCAAAAGATCTTGATGGCTCTCCTAACCAAGAGAGACTAGAAAGGAAGGACTGACTATTTTAAAAAATGAAATCATTATAGTTCTACAGATCACAATAGAATATTGTTGGATTAAAGATGATTGCCCTAGGTTGGCAGACACTACAAAACAGCCATTAACAATGGACTTGATCATGGCAATGTTTGTAAAAATGGCACAACTGGGAAATATTTCATTCTGTTCCACAAAGGAGTCAATTTGACAGCAAGAGTTGAGAGTCACCTCACAGAAACTAACAAACACCCAGCAGAGGAGATGAGGAAAATATTTTCTTCCTTTACCTATTTCCTACATGAAACAGGGACAAAGAATCAAGGCAGGGAGAGGGAGGTTGCTAGAGGGCAGAGGGGAAATCCACTATTAAGCAAAAAGACACCCCACAGCAACTGTCAAGACAATTCTTCCACATGGCAACCCTCCACTGGGCTTCTGAGGCTGTAAATCTTTAAAGGAGAAGACAATCCATCTTTCACCAGTGGGGCCATGGGTTTGGAATCACTGATCTTTTGGTTTGAAACGAACACTGATTACGTTACACCATTAGAGATCCCTGTCAAGCAAACAGAATACCTGAATACTATCTTGAGACACATCATGGACCAAATAAATGCACCCTAATGACATTTCTGTGCAACATCCAACTTACTTGTTTCGAAGCCAAATAATTTCGGGTTTTGGGTTTCCTTCAGCTCTACATCTGAAGTATACGGTATTCCCCGATGTAACATCTGCATCCTGGGGCTCTGATGTAATCCTTGGCCTTTCTGTGCCAAACCATGAAATAGAAACCGTATTAGTTTTAAATTGGTAAAATAAAATTAAGTAAGAAAGCAAACTAATGTTCCTATATCCACAAGAAAATCACAAATGCTCAAAAGGACATTGCACTCATAAATGTTTTATTGCTCTCATGAAAATGACAGAACGGCTTCCTTTCAGATAGGATCCTTTTGCAGCTTATATATTTTTTTTAATATTTCATAGATGCTACTCTGACTAGGGAGGATAGAAGGAGAATTGACGCCTTTGAGCTGTGGTGCTGGAGTAGAGTATTGAATGTACCATGGACTGCCAAGAAAACAAACAGATTCATCATGGAGAGGGTTAAACCAGACTACTCCTTGGAGGTAAGGATTCTGGGGCTTCGTCTGACATACTTTGTTGTAAGGAGAGACAGGTCTTTAGAGAGGGACATCATGCTGGGTAGAGTGGAGGGACAGCGCATGAGGGGAAGACCCTCTATGAGGTGGATTGATTCAGTGACTGGGGTAATCGGGATGGGTGTGTCAGAGGCAATGCGATTGGCACAGGATACAGCAGGGTTTAGGGCTGTTGTACATAGGGTCGCTATGAGTCGCAAACGACTCGACGGCACATAACAACAACAACAAACTCTCTTACAGACAGGTTAACAATGAAATGTTTACAGACAAGCTTCAAATAATTACTTGCAGTGGTCTGTTTATGAATTCCTGGTGGCACAAAGTTTAAGCACTAAGTGACTAAGCAAGAGATGCATGAGTTGAGCCTACCCAGTGGCTCTACAATGGTTTTTAAAAGTCCTTTTTGTGGTAAGTATACTCATCACACAAGGCTGACACTTCAACAACACCTAACAATAATTCTCCAGTCACCCTGCAAGGAAGCACAACATCTATTAACTCAATGAGTAACTTATCAAAACTGACTAAAAGGGAGAAGGAACTTGGAAAGCAAAAGGGCTAAAAGGCTAAACAGTTTTGAGGTAATAACCTCAAATCTGGTTAACTCAGCTTTTACTTCAGATGTCAACTCTGTAAATTACATAGAAAAAGAAGTTGCCTCATGACACCTCCTATTCTCTTACTCTGATTTTCTACTAATGCCTAAATGCTGACAACTACTTCTAGTGGAGATTTCTCTCCTAATTTCCAGATGCTCACACAGGCAGCTGCCTTCCGGATATCTCCACTTGGCAGGTAAAGAAACTGGATGTCATAATTAGAAAAGTCTATATGGAACACAGGATTGGAGGGAGACTCATCAGCAACCTGCGACACAGAGATGACACAACATTGCTTGCCAAAATTGAGGAGGACTTGAAGCATTTGCTGCAAAAAGTCAAAGACTGTAGTACTCAATACGGATTGAAGCTCAAAATCAAGAAGACAAAGATTCTTCTCAGCACTGGGTCAACTGACACTACCGTGATGGATGGAGAAGAGATTGAAGTTGTTAACAATTTCAGATTGCTCAGCTCCACAATCAACACTCTTGGCACCAGAAGTCAGGGATTCAAAAGATGAACTACAGTGGAGAAGTCTGCTGTCAGGGACCTCCCCAAAGTGCTAAAGAGTAATGATGTCAGTCTAGGGACTAATGTGTGCCTGACCCAGGCCAAAATCTTCACAATTACTTGCTATGCATCAAGGAGGTGGACAATAACTAAGGATGAAAGAAGAAGAATTGCTGTCTTTGAGTTGTGGTGCTGGAGAAGAGTATGAACCATGGACCACGAAGGAAACAAAGAGATCTGTATTGGAGAAGGTGCAATCTTCTTCTTGGAGGCAAGGATTTTTAAGCTATATCTCACATACTTTGGACATGTTGCCAGGAGGGGCCAGTCCTTGGAGAAGGACATCATGTTTGGAAGGGGAGAGGGACAGCACAGGAGAGGAAGACCCCAGATGAGATAGACTGACACAGTAACTGAGCTAATGTGGGAAGGTGTATTGGAGACAGTAAGAGTGGTTCAGGATAGCGCAGGGTTTAGAGCTATTATACATAGGGTTGCTGAGAATTACAGGCTACTTGATGGCATTTAACAACAACAACATAAGTAAATGGGGAAGTTGGTCTCTTGGGAAGAGCAGAACACTGAACTAATGTGAAAGGGGGTCTGCAGAATGCATTAATGCAGCATCCATACAACTGTAATGCCTAGATTTAAATCCTGACCCTTCTATCTATTACCTATGTCCTAAATTTATGTTCTCAACCTGCCTGGACTTTGGTTTCCTGAATTTTAAAATGAAAGTGATCAAAGAACCTCTCAGGATACGGTGACGATTTAA